TGTATTATTTCTAGATCGTGCTGTTCTTTTCTATGTACACATCTTTTTGCATACCGCTCTTCCCTTTTTTTTTCCGATCTTATTGCCCCTCCTTCGCCCCGTGTTTCGTAGCCCCACTCTCTCCTCAGCGGTTTGCCGCGTGACTCCCCGCGCTTTCATTTTCCTTCTTTTGTTTTATCTTTATTCTTTCCGCTTCTTCCGCCATCACGCCCCTACCTCTTCGTTTATCTCCTATGTTCAGTCTTTGAGGATCCCTCTGCACACTTTAGTCACTCTCTCTTACTTACTCTTTTTGTTTGTTTCTCTCGCTTTATTTTGCGATAGAGAGTGTGATTGAGAGAGAGAGAGATAGAGAGAGATACAGACAGACAGAGAAGTGGAGAGAGAGAGAGCGAAACACACACAGACACACACGCACAAAACCGAGGCAAAGTCACGTGTGCACCTGGGCGGCGGCATCTACGCTGTCGTCGACGAGGGCGGCCGTCATGTCCTCAACGGACGCTTGCAGTTGGGAGACACGCGGAGACGAGTTGTTCAGCACCGCTTTAAGGTGTGCCTGGTGGATGGGAGGTGTATGTGCAGTGGGGTGGTTTGATTCATAACAGGAGGAGAGTTATGAGCCTGTGGATTACCGCTACAAATACACACACACACAAGTACACACAAGCTCACTGTGGATTACCGCTACAAATACACACACACAAGTACACACAAGCACACACAAGCACACACGTATGCATAGCATGACCATACCGAGTAGACGGTTGCTGGTGGAATGTCAAATTCAGCTGCGAGGAGGATTGCACGGTTCAACAGGTCCGGGTTTCGGGCACGACGTCCCATGCCCTTGATGCAAGATGCGCGATAGGCGCCGTCGTTGAGGAAGCGCGTGCGGTCAACGTGGTCCTCCACATGCACCAGTCGTTGCGCAACACGCTCGTTGTGCTCCTCCTTCACACACCACTGCCACAATGCAGCCAACGCTGTCCTCTCCTCTCGTCGCCCCACAGCACCATCCCCATCAGCGCCATCGTCACCATTGTCACCAGCCTCTTTCTCGTAATCACTGCCGATGCTGTCATTGTCCTTATTCATCCCTGCATATGCGTCCACCTCTTTCGCCACAAACGCCAGCAGGTCCCCGACAGGGACGTACCGACACGTCTTGAGCATGTCAGCCAATGGTGTTGATGCTGACGATGACGATTGTGGTCCCCCTGGCGTGTCCATGCATTCCTCACTTGTTGCTGCTGCTGCGACCCATCGTAGTGCCACAAAGGTCTTGATGAGCGCGTGATCGTGACCAAAACGCGTCTTCAGCGTGACAATCGCACGCTGAACGTCGTTGCATGCAAGCAAACACGACAGTGTCACGCGCATGTCCGCTGACACGGCCGTGCGCGCACACGCCACCAACGCATCATCCACAACGCGGGACGACGGTGTTCGTGCAGGTGATTGCAACGCATCATCATCATCATCATCATCATCATCATCATCATCATCATCATCATCATCATCATCATCATCATCATCATCATCATCATCATCATCATCATCATCATCATCATCATCATCATCATCATCATCATCATCATCATCATCATCACTGCTGCTTTGCATGGCGGCTTCCCACGCCAATGCCACGCGGGTGTGTAGTGCATTGAATGCTTTTTCCATGTCCTCACGGTCACCTACCAGCCACGTATCAGCATCGTGGCGGGCAGCGCCTCTCCGGCCGCTGAGCGATGCCCCGCCGTCACCCCCGTTGTCATCGTCACCGCCATCGGTGCGCGTAAAGATGGGTGGCTGTGGGGCGGTGAGTTGTGTACATGTGTTCAGTGCTCGCTGCAGCAACCGCTGATCGCGGCCATCGAGCTGTTCAGCACCGCCACCACCGCCATCATCATCACCGGTGACAGCTACGCCAAAGCCAGCGCCCATGGCCATCATCGCCGTTGTCGTTGTGGCCGCGAATGTGGACACAGACGACTGCGCTGCGCGCGTCACGCTGCCCAACAGCGCACCCGCCGACGACACAGACACGCGAGAGGCGCTCGCATCCGTTTGATGCGACGCAGCCATCGTGTCACCGCTATCGCTGTCATCGTCATCATCAGCGTCATCGCCACCACCTCCTCCTCCAGCGGCTGCGGCTGCAGCTGCGATGGTGGTGTCCATGCGTAAGACGTGCTTGAGAGCAGCAAGGTGTTCTCCTATGGCGACGTCGTCGCAATGATGAACACAGAACAGAGCCGCCGTGACCACATGTGCACGAGCTGATGCATCCACAGCAGCACCATCCAGCACCATGCGCACAACTTGCGAGCACAACTGCACACCATGGAAGCCAGGGACGTGTGTGTGTGTGTGTGTGTGTGTTTGCGGTTGGGTGAGGTTGTGTGATATTATGTGGATGTCCTATTGTGTGTGTGTGATTGTGTGGATGTGCAATTGTGTGTGTGTGATTGTGTGTGTGTGTGTGTGTGGTTGTGTGTGGTTGTGTGTGATGGTGCAATGGTGATTTCATGTGCGCATAGATGCACATGAGTGTCGTTGTGCTTGTCATACCAGCAAACAGCATGCACATAAACGAGCAAGATCACACGAGACCGGTTGCTCACCGTCACCAGCGTGTCCGTGTTGGCCGCGCGCGCCACATCACCACCACCACCGCCACCGCCGCCGCTGCTGCTGCCATCTGGTCGCTGCGAGGCGGTGATGAGCGGGATGAGGTGGGCGATGGCCGTGCTCACGCCATCAGCCTCCAGTGAACGCACAATCATGTCTTCGCGCACTTGCGCCTTGACAGCATTCGCCTCGTCTGACGCGGGGGGGGGGGGAAGAGAAAGGAGAACAAGTTGCAAGACGACAAGATGGGATGGGGAGAGGCACAAGGTGTGAGATGTGCTGGCTGTGGTTGTGGCTGTGGCTGAGGTTGTTGGTGTGGCAGAAATCTCGCTGACGCACGCACATACACACATACACGCACACACATACGCACACCCCCCCCCCCCCCATACACAAACACACACACACGCGCATGTGCACACACCTGTTGTTGTGCAACGAAGGTCAATCAGGTGCGCAATTGGGTCGAAATCGTGCAAATCCACAGCAGCTGCGTCAAGCACTTTGGTGGCGACGGCGAGAGGAGAGAGCAGACGAAGCTGTAACGGACTCATCTGATTGCGGGGGAGGGGGTCGTGGTGGTGGTGGTGGTGGTGGAGAGAGACATAGAGAGACGGAGAGAGCGAGAGGGTAAGGCGCAGCGTAGTGATGAAGTGTGTACGTGTACGTGAATGAATGTGTGTGTGTGTGTGTGTGCGTTGGTGAAAGGCAGTGGTCAACACGCAATAGGAATGACGCAAGGCTGCACAAACAAGGCCACACAATACAATACTACAACACAACTACACAACAGCACGACAACTGTTGAGCACCTTGACGTTGAGGGAGGCGAGAAGTGCGCACGCGTCCAGGAATTTCCGTTCAGCGACAACATCACCATCATCTGACGGCAGCAGATTGAGAATGCGTCGCGCTTTGTCCAGTGGATGAACACCGGTGCCCATCGCTCGCATTGCTGCTGCTGCTGCTGCTGTTGCTGATGACGATGACGATCCCATGGCTGGCGTGTGCATGTCGGTGTCGACATCAACGGCACTGTTGACCAGCTCCCGCACGGCAGACAGGCTCGCTTGCATCACGTCGCTCAGTGTCAGCTCATTCACAAGCGGCGACACCCAATCACTGCCACTATCACCACTACCATCACCACTGCCATCGCTACCACCGCCATCACCGTCACCATCACCGTCACCGAGGACACGGCGCCGCATAAAGTGGCGGGACGGCGTGAGGAGTTGGCGCAGTGCGCCGGCAACGCGACCCGAAGACGCCTCGCCCAGCGCACTCATCCGCGCACGAAACGACGATGATGATGATGACCCCATTGATGCTGCTGTTGCTGTCGATGATGATGTTGCTGCTGTTCCCTGTTCCTTGCCCATTGTGGCGTCACTAGGACCTGAGTCGCCCACGTTTCGCTGCTGGTGTTGCGTGAGTTTGAAGAACGGCATGACGGCAGCAAGGGCGGCATCGTCTTCTGCAGTCAAACACACGCACATGTACTCGCGCAGCGCAAACTGCACGCTCACACCCGCGTGCAGGTAGCGCTGAACCACAAACACGTCCTCCAACAGCAGTCGCCACGCCTCCGACGTGTGAGCGCGCTTTGCCCCAACTCGAAGCAGCCGCGACACAAACTGCTCACACGCCTCACGCGCAGCCGCCACCTGCCGTTCCTGCTGCTGCTGCTGCTGCTGCTGCTGTTGTTGTTGTTGTTGTTGCTGCTGCTGTTGTTGTTGTTGTTGTTGTCGTTTGGTCTGGGGTGTTTGGGCGGGCGCGCTGGCCTCAACTGTATCGCTCCCATCTCCCTGCCGGCCCCTGCCACCATTGTCACCATCGTCATCGCCGTTATCATCATCGTCGTTGTCGTCGTCGTCAGTCCATGGGTCACCAACCTCATCGTCATCGTCATCTTCATCAACCACGCCACGTCGTTCCTCCACACCACCTTGCTTCTCGCTGCCATCAGAGTCACCGTGCATGTGCTGCGTTGCTGCCCTGTGTAGGGTGTGCAGCGCATGCATGCTGGTTGGCTGGTGCTTGAACACGGCCATGAAGCAGAGACACGCCGGCGACGCCGCGTCCGCTGCCGTGGAATCCACGCCCTCCAGTGCTGACAGCAGCTGCTCGCACAGCACATCGGACCCTGGACAAACAGGGCGGGAAAGCGTGGGAAAGGCAAAGGGGAGACAGTGGGGTGAGTTGCCGCAGTGAACTGTGGTGACAGGATGTTTGGGTGTAGACGCGCATACCTGCACGCACATCCAACTACAACACACAGCAAACGCACGCACACACCATCATACACCGCGTACACACACACACACACACACACACACACACACACACACACACACACACACACCATGGTACACCGCGTACACACACCACACACACACACCACACCACACCACACCACACATACTCTCTCAATCACACACACCCACACGCTTACACCAACCTGGCTTGCTGGTCAGGGCGTGGATGAGGGCCTTGATGACGCGTGTGCGCTGTGCAGCGGAGGGAACCATGAGCTGAAGCATCGGTGTGGATGACAACGCCAATGATGCGGCTGGCTTCATGTCGTCGGCGCTGTTGTCGTCGCCACCCGATGACACGAGCGCGGTGATGCGATGCGGATGTGTTGCTGCCAGTTCGCACAGCACCGTTTCCACCGCAGCCACCCCGTCCTCAGGCAACACACCATCATCGCCACCATCTCCATGACCATTGGAACCATCGCCATGACCGCCGCCGGCGGTGCTGTGGTGGGAGCGCCGGAGGTACGGGATGACAACAAACTTGCAGCGATCGGCAAACACGGCTGCGTCCTTCTCTGCTTCGCTGCTCATCCGCCGCACTGCCGCTGCCGTTGACGCGGACAGCGCGTGTGTGTGTTCGCGAGCGCCAGAGATATCCGTCATTGCCCGCAACACATCCACCGGTTGCATCGCTTCCACATCGTCCAGCGTCAATCCATACTCATCACCACCACCACCATCATCAGCACCATCAGCACCACCATCAGCACCATCACGTTCAACGGTGTAGTGGCAGTCGCGGACGAGAGTCTCCAGTGTCTGCACGTTGGCCATGAGCGTGTCCAAGTGCGGAAACTCTCTCGCCATTGCCGCGCCAATCAGCTGGGTTGCTCGCCCCGTCTCCCCCACTGCACACAGCTGGCGTGCCCGGTATGCAATGAGCTGCGAGCCGGCAGCAGCGGTGGCTTCAAGCGGAACGTCGCACCCCTCCTCCGCCAGCACCACCGACAGCGCATGCAGCGCACGTGTGTTTGCAACGGCGCTTGTCTCCAGCAGCAAATCTGCCGCCGTTGGCACAGCTGTGTCGCCGCCGTCACTGTTGCTATCGCTGGCATTGGCATCATTGTCACGGTGTTCGCTGCTGCTGGTGTTGGTGTCGGCTGTCACGACCTCGCACCAGTCTGGTTCGTCTCGCCACGGCTTGTCCTCCATCATCACCAGCCCGTCATCGCCACCGCTGCGGCACGTCGGCAGCAGCGACAGCCACTGCTGTGGATCCATGGTTGGTGGGAGGAGGGCCAGGATTGCGAAGGTGGCGGGCCTGAGGTGGTGCATGTGGCGGATGAAGAGTCCGCGCAGTGCCTGCACGTGTCCGTCGCAAGCAAGCAGCGCTGCCTGGGTGGACAGGTGGTCCGATTCAAACAGTGCGTAGTCCTCCTCGTCAAAAGACAAGGAGGACTCGACGTCCAGCACATAGCGATACATTCGCAATCGATCGTAGCGATTCAAGAGTTCGCGGCGCATCAGCAGCAGCAGCCGCTCCTCGCCACACAGCGCCTGGTGGCCACATACGTACGTGTGTGTGTGTGTGTGTGTGTGTGTGTGTGTGTGTGTGTGTGTGTGTGTGCGTGCGTGCGTGCGTGCGTGTGTGCATGCTTGTGAGTGTTGAAGAAGATGTATGTATTGCGAAAGCGTGTGAAAGCGTGGCCGTGCTCCCATGAGCCAAAACCAGCCCCTTATGAGCCAGACGTGCCACCAACCTGCGTATCAACGTCGCTTGGACCGGAAACATTTGGAAACACGGCACCAAACGCCGTCAGCTTGAGTCCAAGCTCGCACATCTCCATGGCCGTGTCCATGTCACGCACGCGGTATGACGTCATCTCACGCAGGACCCACATGCGATCGCGCATGCGAGCGAGATAGTCGCGCACGTTGTACTTGCTGGGCCCCTCCGCCTGCCACATGGCCCTGTACACCGTGTCCGTGTCCAGTGCGTGCTGCACGGCAAGCTCGCGAGCTGCGCCGAAATCCCCGAGCGCAATCAGTTCTTGCAGCAGCGCCGGTGGTGACAACTCGCGCACGTGTGTGAGGCGATAGGTGGACGTTGTGGTGTATGTCGGTGGGACGGCAAACCCAAGCAGAGCAGACAGCAGCTGTGTGAGCGACCGCATGACGCCACTGTCATGTTGCTGTTGCTGCTGCTGCTGCTGCTGCTGCTGCTGCTGTTGCTGCTGTTGTTGTTGATGTGGTGGTGGTGGTGGTTGACTGGCGGCAGTGCGGGTGTCGTCGCTGTTGTCTGCAACCTTGGATTTCTGCTCCTGCAACACCCACCCAAACGTCACATCCCCATCCCCATCACCAAAATCACCATCACCACCATCGCCATCACTATCACCATCGCCGCTGCCTTCGCGGTGCCGGCCTGTGCGCGTGAGCAGTGGTGCTCGCCCAAAGAGCGGAATGCGTTGCGTCAACCGGTTCACACGTGCACGGGCATCTGCGCTGCTGTTGGTGTCCGTGGTGGTGGGAATGTCAATGAGGGCAATTTCGCCATTTGCAAATGCAATTAGAACGCGGTCGTCGCCCCACCAGCGAATGCCGGACAGCCTGTCCAGTAGCGCTGCGTCACGGCATTCTGGCAGCACGTGCGCGGCCTTGTGCAACTGCACGCGCTTCAGCTGCGTCCATGGTACAGTGCACTCCACAGCAAAGGCGGGCATGCGCGCAATGACCACGGTGCCGTTGAGTAGCACTATTGCCACACGGTTGCCATCCGCACTCACGTCCAGGCCAACACATGCCGTGCCGTGCACATCGTTGCCTGCAGGCAATATCACCTTCCCTGCGAGCGAGTCCACGGGCTGCAAGGACAGCACGTCCTGCCGTCCGCCTCCACCGCTGCCAACGGCGATACGGTAGCCTGCAATTGCGAGGTGTCCGGGTGGCGATCGCCCAACAACAACGACGCTGTTTGATGCCCTCATGTACACGAGCGCGGATACCGTCGACAGGTGCGAGCCACACGACACGCGCTGCTGTTGGTGGTGCTGTTCACGGTGGCTTGCTGCTTCATCCTCCTCAGCTGGCGGTGTCGATGACGGATCGCGGATGAACACATCGCCGTTGGTCAACAGTGCACAGATGTGTGGGGCGCGTAGTGTTGCAGCGTTGTTGCTGCTGCTGCTGCTGTTGCTGCTGCTGTGGGGCAGCAGGATGATGTCGGCGACTTGAGGTGATTCCTTTGCATCGTGTTTGCGATATGGGACTGGCACATCTGTTGTGCCTGCCAAGAGGTCAATGCGGGCGATTACGGAAAGGTCTTCCGCGGCAAAGATGAGCAGAAGGCCGTTGGACATGCACATGCTGAGTGCCGTGCCATCCTCATCCCAGCGCAGGAGGCGTTGCGGGCAGTCATTATCCCGTGGCAGCTTCGTGTGTGCGCGGAGATGCAGGTGCGCTCCATCCACGTCAAAGACTTCCAGCGCTTCACGAGAAGCAATTGCCAGGCGCTGCTGCTGCCGTTGTTGTTGTCTGGACCCGGGTGGTGACAGTGCAATCTGCCAGTCATGTGCGTTTCTATCCTCAAACTCCAGCCTTGCTTCATCAACCACGGCCTGCTTGCTGAACAGCCTGTAGTGTGTGTGTGTGCGTGTGTGTGTGCGTGTGTGTGTGTGTGCGTGTGTGTGTGTGTGTGCGTGTGTGTGTGTTGGGTGAACGCGGGGCAGGAAACAACGAGGAGCAGAGAGGACGAAGCTGCAGGGAGGAGATGCAAACAAGCAGCGAAGGCGCACCGAAGAATCTGGTTGACAAGCCAGGAAGATGTGTGTGGAATGGTTTCCAGCAATGCAGCAAGGCCAGTCCCTGCCTCTTTTTGCTGTGTCTGCATTCACACATGAACACAACAAGGTGTGTGTATGCATGAGCGCGTGTGTGCATGAGTGTGCATGAGTGTGTGCGTGTGTGTTGACATGCGACTTGACACAATGCCATGCAAGGAGACAGAGACGGAGACTCACGCTGAACCACACACACACACACTCACACACGCACAATACTCACCACATGTGGTTGTGTGCGCGTGATGGGAGAGTCATCGTGCCATTCGTGCAGCTGCCGCACCCAGTGCTGCTTGTCTCCTCCTCCTCTTTCTTCCTCACCGCCTCCAGCACGTTCGTGTTCTGTTGACATAGTTCGTTGTCTTTGTTGATGGTTGTCTTTGTTGGCGGATTGCGGAATGTTTATGGAAGACTTTAAGAACTATCATCAAACGCAGCTGGTCTTTCCGCTCTGTTGCTGCGTCGTGTGTGTGTGTGTGTGTGTGTGTGTGTGTGTGTGTGTGTGTGTGTGTGTGTGTGTGTGTGTGTGTGTGTGTGTGTGTGTGTGTGTGTGTGTGTGTGTGTGTGTGTGTGAGCACAGGGAAAAAGCGCAGAGATAAACAGAGTGCATCGCACGCGTGTGCATGTCAACTTACAGAAAGGCGACTCGTTCTGCTAGTCGTTGAGGCCGTTGATACCGAGGACGGTTTTCTGCAAGATCAGGCAACAACACGCCGTGTGTGTGTGTGTGTGTGCGTGTGTGTTTGTGTTTGTGTGTGTGTTTGTTGGTGTGTGTTTGTTTGTGTGTTGTGTGTGTGTGTGTGTGTGTGTTGTGTGTGTGTGTGTGTCAACGTGTGTCAGAGATGACGTGAGTGTGCAGAACGAAAGGAGGGCAACACAGCTGATATGCGCCATCACACAAACAAATATACACACACATGCACCCGTGCTCGCTCGCGTGTCGCACCTGACGAGGTTTGGGGAGGATGAGGAGCGGTTACCAGCGTCGCCATCGCCGGGCACATTCAACTGCATGCAGCAAACAGCAAATTGTCCGAAGAAAGCAACAACACAATCAGCATTGCAGCAACGACACCCCCTCCCCACACACACACACACACACATGCCAACGCAAACGCACACATGCAAACACACACATGCAAACACTCACGTGTGACGCTTTGTCTGTCGTCGGCGACTTTTTGCCTGCATGGAACAGCTCTCCCTTCTTGTCAATCGCAACCGTGATTCGAGACACCCAAGCCCTTTGTTCTGCAAACGAAACACAACAACAACAACGAGAAGTTGAGTGTAAGTGTGTGCGCGTGTATGTGTGTATGTGTGTATGTGTGTATGTGTGTGTGCGTGTGTGTATGTATGTATGTGTGTGTGCTTCGTCGAGTCAGTGTGTTCTTGCACCCTGTGTCTGCGCCTTGCATCTACGTCCCCTTTGGCGCTGCGCTCAATTTCAGAGCACGCCATATCGCAGCATGCTTACCGCCGAGAGATTCGGCCTTGAAGAAGTATTCCCTGTAAGCGCCGTCACCGCCACCCGATGACGACGACGACGTGCTGCTGTTCTTCGCGCGGCCCTGTGTACATTTGTGCCAACGACGAGTGGGGGTGGAGGGACATGGATGGTGTGAGGCACGCAAACGTATGAGTGAGTGAATGAGGGATGGGCACAGGTGAATTGCGCGAGGGAGTGAGCGCGATGTAGTGTAGGTGTACAAGAAAGCGAGCCCACATCGTTTGAGCCCGCATTGCACATTATACGAGTCAGTTCACATGATCGCTTCGACAACACTCTCGACGTGCATGAGCACCACCATATCACCAAGAACACAGCTGAGCTGTCGCACCTTCCAAAAACCGCCTTTCTTCGACTCATGGCCATCACTCTTCTGTCAACATGACATCAACCAAACCATTGCAGTGCATGAAGATGAAGGCAACATGCATGTCACGCTGCACACACACACGCACGTACACATACGCACACGTACACGCACACGTACACGCACACGCACACGCACGCACGCACACGCATACACACACGCTGCACACACACACACGCACACACGCATACACACACGCTGCGCACACACACACGCACACACGCACACACACGCACACACGCACACACCTGTCTGGTTGGAAGGGCAAACGACATTGAGCGCGGGATGACGAATCCTTTCTTCTTTGTGTCGTCGCTGCCAATGCCCTGCTGGCCCTCAAGCCGCGCAGCACGCACCTGATATTGGATGGTGGTGGTGGCGGCAGTGGTGCAAGTGAGGAGTTGGTTGGCGTGTGAGCTAACACAATGAGAGGTGACAACGGCTTCACACACGCATCCACACACACACACACATACACACACGCACAAGCATAGACACACACACACACAAGCTCACACACACACAAGCTCACACACACACACACAAAAGCACACACCACTGCTTCACCTTGAACACGAGCGGTACGTCTGCCGGGTTTGCGTGGATGAGCTCCGAGCGCTGTGCGGGCTCCACACCGACGAGCTGCGCCAGACCAATCAGCAGCGTGGGGTCACCGCTGCGGGTGCTCTGCTCGTTGTCCTGGTACAGTTTGAGGCCTTCAATGTCGAGGACAGCAAACAGCGGCCGCCAGCCAGACTTCTTGATGCCGCGATCACCGGGCATACACACCCACCTGACAGCAAGAAAGCGTGTGGCGTGTGAGTGTAGTTGTTGTTTTCGTTGTGTGTGTGTGTGTGTGTGTGTGTGTGATTGTTGTGATTGTTGTGTTTGTGTGTGTGTGTGTGTGTGTGTGTGTGTGTGTGTGTGTGTATGTGTGTGTGTGTGTGTTTGCAGAAGCAAGGGCCGCAGCACACAAAGACTAACAACCACTGCCAATCCCCAGCAAAGACCGCTCACCCCTCGTTGTGGATGACAAGTCCGGAGAGTGTGCGCTTGAGGCGCTGGGATCCAAACCGCTTTACGCCCTCGTCCTGCTTCATCTCGTCCACCGCAGCCTGCAGCGCCCGCAGCGACGTGTCCTGGGATGCGTAAATGGAGGGATGGTGGAGGGATGTGTTGCAATGGCGGACGTTAAGGGCACAGTTCATCAGAAGTTGGCGACACACACACACACACACACACATTCACAGACACGCACAGATAGACACACGCATATGCACACACACACACACACACACACACACACACACACAAGTTCCAGCCAACACCAACGCCGAGATCACCAGTGCCGCACCTTTGCAGCGCATTTTGCCTGGAGCTCCTCGATGGTGGCGGACTTGTTGTCCTGATCCTCCTGGAACTGCTGCTGCAGCCCCCGGATCAACTTGCCGTGGTCCTCCATCACCTGGCAGCGGTGGCCGTGGCAGTCGTCGTCGGGAAGTGGGAAGTGGGAAGGTGGTATGAGCGTGTGAGTAAGAGTGAGAGGGGAGAACGAGAGAGGGGGGGGGAGAGAGAAACAGAGAGAGAGAGAGAGACAGACAGACAGACAGACAGACAGACAGACAGACAGACAGACAGACAGACAGACGGAGGAGAGAGAGATAATGTAATCGAGCGACACAACAGCGTAACAC